TTTATCTTTCATAAGAGCAGATGTACAAAGAACATACGTTTTTATTTACTGAAGAAGTCTGAATGTCTTTACGCACACGCATACTGCTTACACACAAAGTCAACATTTTGATAATTCACAATCATGGAGTTACATTTGCAAAAATGCACAAAGCAAATTGGAATTCTCTAAAACTCTTCATACGATGTGTACAGTATTGGAAATGATGCAAAGATGAAATCGGTGGCGTAGCAAATTATAAAAAATAATGCTGACAATTTCAAATAGTGAAAAAAACTAAAAACAAAAACAAAAAACTACAAAAGACCGAAAAGAAAATTCAACAAATAAAAAAGTTTGGAGATAGATTATGAGCAATTGCATGGAGATAGTCCGTAACAGCTGGCCAACTTTCACAGTCATTAACTATATTTTGAAGCCTTGCATCACAAGAAATAGCTGCTTTTTTTCTTTTAGGACATGGCTGTCCTTGGTGAATATGTTCACATCTATTTTCTGCGTGACACTGCTCTTTTTAAAATTCTTCTATGATTTAATATCCACCTACGTGAGCATTCCCCATTAAGTATTCCCATCTCTGTGCCATGCTTCTTTGTTGTTGTGGATCTGTGGAAATCTATTCCATAAGCACACATATACAGACCACAAGTCTGGTGGAAGCAATACTGGTGATTGAACTGTAACAATACTGCCCATCATGCACATAGTTATTTTTGAACCAGTCAGTAAGTTCGCTGGCTTTTTCAGGTAAATGTGGCTTTAATTCATTAAAAGTTCCTGGAATGCCATTAGCTTGAATGAATGCCAAGACAGGCAAATGATGCATTTTTAAACTGATGTTTTCGTCATTGCGGTATCACGTGACCAGTCCACTCATCTGAATTTTCTGCCAGATACATTGGGCAGAATGGAAAAAATAACAAACTTTATTGGTAACACCTCGAAGTTTACTTTTAGAAACCTCGATCACACCTAATTCCGAATTTGTCTTTATGGTTTGAGGATTCAATTGAAATCCATTTTCTTATGCATATAGAGTAACAAAGTAAATAGTTCCACCTAATGTGATGCAACTATCCTGTGATTTTGATTTTGGAGATTTTAGATGTGAGGGATTTAGACTTTAGAGGTATTGATTTTTTGGAATTTCAATATTTGGGATTATAAAGTTCGGGGCTGTGTCTTTTGGGACTATAAAAAAAACCTAGCCAAGATCAAGGTGTTGGCAGATTTGGTTTCTTTTGTGGCTTGTATCCTTGGCCTGCAGATGGCCGTCTTCACCCTATGTCTTCACATGGGTTTCCCTCTGGGTGTCTCTGTGTTTTAATCTCCTCTTATAAAGACACCAATTGTATTGGATTAGGGCCCATTCTAAGGATCCAATTTTAATTTATTCACCTCCTTAAAAGCCCTTTTTCCAAACACATTTACCTTCTGAAATAATGAGGGTTAGAACTTCAGCATACGCTTTTGAGGGGAAAGCAATTCAGCCCATAACAGAGCCTAATCACTTATTTTTTAAATAGAAGCCATTTTTTGTCTTCTCTAAAATCTTGAAATCACGTGACAGCATGGCACATGAATGTTCAAAGTCCACAAGAAGTACGAGAGAAATCTGCAGATGAGGAGAAAGAGCCTTGCATTTGGAGTCAGGGGGCCCTGGGCTTTAGACGTGTATCGTTCACTTACAGGTACGGGCGTGTTGAGTTTCTCTGAACCTCAATGTCTTGTGTTAAAGACATTGTAAAGATCTGAATACTACAAATGTGTAAAGATCTAATACTAATACAGAGATACTAAATATTTGTAAAGACGTGAATGCTACATGCAATTATATATATATATATATATATATATATATATATATATATATATCTGGCATATACAAAGAATATCTTACCAAATCTAAGAAGCCATCAATTATAAAATGTATCCTTATGTTATTCATACCAAAAGTGGCAAAATCATGCTGGGGAGATTTTCAGATTACAGATTCAGGGGCCCTACCCGCAGGTACATTGAGTTTGAATCTCCTGGGATGAAGCTTAAGGATTGTCATCTTTTAAAAATATTTTCCCCATTATTCTGTCGGTAGGCTCAGAAGCCAGGGCATTCCGCATGCTGTCAGTCAATGTGCTGAAGAACTCAAATTTTAATTCTAAGCTAGAATCTTTGGAGCTATTTATCAGTTTCTCATTTAGTCTATAGGAAGCCTGAATTTCGGCCCTTGCCAACAAAAATCTGTTGCCCAAATTCTTTACATTTTTAACGCATTCATTGAATTCCAGAAACTCCAGCTCAGAAGTTGCATAAAATAAATACTTTGGTAGAACGTGTAAATCGAAACCTGTTCTAATGGTGGAGTGTTGCAGCATTTACCTTTAGTAAGCAGCTCTCTGATCCCTTTCCCAGACTATAGGACCAGAACTCGTGGGTGCTGAGCCCACCTCAGTCATTCTACATTTTCATGATTCTAAACCACGTCAGGTCCTTGTATGCATTTTTTTAACTGTTTTTCCCAAACTTAAAAAAAAACTAGTTGAACCCTTTTAAATATTACTTTTTCTGAATATCTATGATTAAATTCTGAGTAACAGTAACCTTATGATGAGCACAGAAAAAGCAAATGTCAAGATTATTAGAGTTACTTTGGACTCTTTGAGTCTCATTTGGGCCTAGCAAACTACCTAACCCCTCCCAAGAACATCATTCCATAGTCTTCATATCCACATGTATAAGCACTATGATCTCAATTCAGTCCACCACCCGATTTCACAGCTGCGCAAAGCAATCCTCACCCCTCCACCTCTCAACCCCCACCCCTAAGAAAGTAAGTGACTTACCCAAGGGCACATACAAGTTGGCCTATGGACACTGAGCTCAGTTCTCTTATTTCAGCCTAATGTCCCTTCCATTCCTCCCACCCGTCATGACCCATGATCTGTTAGTGACACTTCAGGGAGATTTATCAAAAGCATCCAACAATATGTAGTCTAACCCAAGGGAAAACTGCCCTGAATCACGCGCAGATCATTCCTGAGCCCTGTAGTTCCTGTTTTTATGCAGATTTCCTCTGAGCCCTGGCTAACTCCCAGGGAAGCGCACATATCAGCTCTGCTATATATTGGCAGAACTTTGGCGTGGAACACATCTCAAATGCTTTCCGCTGAACATTGGCAGCCTTGAAGAAACATGGCTAGAACATTATTCCAGGAGGCCTAATTGTTCTGTGTCACTTTGCAAGAAGAAGCTGATGGCTTTCTCGCCCAAGCTCTTCCCTCTGTGCCCAGAACAAATGACTGCAGTTCCCAGTATAGGCCCTAAATTAGGAGAGGGCAAACTCAGTGGCAGCATGAATTGAGGGAATGCCTTTACTGGACAGGGGCCCTCTTCCCAGCACAGTGTGCATTTTGCCAAGTTCTTTCTCCTTCAGTTTTAAAACCCTTGTGTATTCGAAGAGAAATGCCGTCCATGTGTTTCTGATTCATTTACACTTAAATCATTAAAATGTTGTTTTGTGAGAGTTATTTGATGTGTGAGGAGCCTGTGAGCCTTCTTAATGGGAATGTTAAAAGCTTTTTTTTTTTTCCTGGGCTGACTGAAACAGAAAACATTTTGCTAAAACAGTGCCTAAGTTCAAACATATCCTCTCATCTCATATACTTGTACCTACAACCACAGCTTCTTCAAAATGCCAAGCTTGGCAAGGCTGGCATTCAAAAGTGTTAAAAATTAGAGAAACTGGAGAGAAAATGGCATAAGAGTTACAGTGGAGTCAAGCCACTGTACCCCAAAATGTGCCAAAGGAGCGTTATCTGAGGGTAGAGAGTGCATGTGTCTGCTGCTTTGGTTAGAGGGGCTGGATGCCCTCTCCCTGGCACTCCCCTGGACCACTGGAAAAAAACAGTTCTACAAGCACAATCTTATTCAAGCCTCAGAGTAACTCCCATTTTCCAAATGAAGACACAGAATCAGATACATTAGGTATTGTGCCTAAAATGCACAGCTGTCTTGGGTAGAAGGGGAAGATCACAGCTCAACTTTGACTCTGAGTCTAATCTTCTTTTCAAAACGACTCAAACTGAGTTTCTCTATGAATGCTATATGTGCGCATTGGTAATTTCATATGCATTATAACATGTTAATGAAAGGCAGTGTAATATAGTGGCTAACACTTCCAATTCTGCCTCCAATACTTTCCAGCTGTGTGAACTTGTGTCCGTTACTTAACCTCTCCGGGCAATTTCCTCTGAAAAATGAGAATGTTACCAGCCATGTATACAAGATATAAAGATGACTGAAGAGAATTCATACATTGAATGCTCAGAGCAGTGCCTGACACATAGGCTCAATAACTGTTAGCTTCTAGTGCTAGTACCAGTGGGGAGTGATAAACAGTTGGATGATCCTGTCAAGTTGCATATTCTCTCTGAGCCTTAGTGTCCTCGTTTGTAAAATGAATATTACAGCAGGACCCTCACCAGCTTGTGAAAGTAACCGAGATAACGTTTGCACCTAGCACCGTGTCTAACACAGACAAAGTGCACAGTCAGACTTGAGTTTTACACCCAGACGTGCCTCTCCCTATTCAGTGTTGGTGGTGGTTGTTGTGGAAGGGGTAATTTTCTTATCATTCAGCTCATCTTAGATCTAGTCTTGATTTCTCCTCAGCCTGAGTATAGACATGTATAACAGGCTCAGGTCTTTCTACCCTCCTGGGGCAGTGAGATCTCTTGCTGCGATAGGCCCTTTCTGGGCTGGATTAGACCCCAGCACACTCCAAGCCGGTAAATAGTGCCACAGGTATTGCTCATGGGGAAAAACAACCAGCCAACCTCAGGATTTGGTGACCCCCAATTCCGGGCCAGTGACTCTGTTTACAGGAAAACCTGTCATTGTGACTCTGATTGCAAGAAAACCTGTGGTTATTTGGGGCTCTGCTCACAAGGAAATCTGTAGTTATTTGCAGACAGACACTCTGGGATTTAGACCTTTTTTTTCTTCTAGTGTAGGTGCTAGAAATGCCTTCTTGGTTGTTTCTATTTAATTGCTTTTCTTTCACGGGTGTCCTGAAGAAAAGCAGAAAATTACAGTCATCTGGCAAAAAAGATTAAAAAGAAATTAGACTTTGTCCCCTTCCACTCTCTCTCTCTCTCTGTACACACACACACACACACACACACACACACACACACACGCACACACACACACATGCTCTGATACAAATACCTGTTTAAGCCCCTCTGTTATTTCCTCTCAAGGGCTGAAGTCAGCCACACAGGATAAAGGAGGGAACGGAAGGAACAGATCTTTTCGGGAAGAAGACAGATTTTGTTCTGTCAGGTTCCTTGCAAGAGCAAGTCAAAGCAGAGAGAGAGGAGAGAGCAAAAGAGAGGGGGAGAGGGGATCTGTTGCAGGCAGGGGAAGGCGTGACCTGAATGGAGAATGCCAGCCAATTCCAGAGACACACAGGGACCTCAGAACAAAGATAAGGCATCGCGGACACCACACCGGGCACGAGCTCACAGGCAAGTCAGGCTGGGAGGATCAAGGCCGGGCAGCCGGGAGCACCCAAGGCAGGAAAATGAGGTAGGTGCCAGGGGAGGAGAGGGCACCGTTCCCTGCTGGGGACCCGGTGTCAAATAGCAGGGAGGATCTGACCTTGTCACTGGGCAGACTCACCTGTGAGTCCTGCGTGTGGTAGTGAGGGGGTTTCTCATCCATTCTTGGGGTTCTGAGAAGGGAACAGGGGGTGGACTGGGTGCCTTCCCCAGGACTCCAGGAGACACACAACTTGAAACGGGAGACTTTGTGCAAATCCTGCTCCGGACGCTACTAAAGCTTGGATTTCTCCCACCGCCTGCACAGGGCGCTGCCTGCTGGTGAATGTGACTCTCCTCCTGTTCACCCACAAGGCTGATCTTTCATGTTCCTCCTCTGGAAAGAGCATTGCTTTCTGTCTTCCAACACTTTGTGAGTTAGATATGTGTTTGTGTATTTATTCGTTCTGACCAGAAAAGAAACCAGCTTCCCGTAGCTCGGCTCTGTGATTTCTTAAACCTTTACAAGTTTGCCAGTTAAACCTCAATTTAGAAAACTAAAAATCTGTCCCCATTTTACAGTTCCCTATAAATTTTCTGCATCTCTCATTGAAATCAGAGGCAGCTGGTGGCATGAATCAGGCTATGAATTACACCAAATGGCTCTTAAAGAGATATCACACTTAAAAAAATAATAAAGGATTTTAGAGCTCTGAAATCAAGAACTTCAAATTCTAATTGGTTTTAAACTCTTTAACCTTTCTTATTCCTCACTATACGTGACACTCCTTACCAGGCATTTCACACAAGTTTTTTCCTGCAAGTCTGAAAACCCAACCACCCTAGTTATTTTTATTACTTAAGTGCTAATGCTGTTAAACACACACAAACACACACACACACACACACACACATGCACACGCACACACATACAAACGCTCTACAGATGTGTAAAGTCCCTAAACACCTCTTTTACTATTAATTTTCTTTTCAGCTGGGAAAGTGTTTTTATTTATTTCTCTTCTGCAAAGTAACCTAGCAACTTTTCTGGGTCTGAGACGAATGAGAGGCTTCACACTACGTTAACTCTTTGAACTACAATTACCTGTGGTTCAGAGAGATAACCCGGTCCTTAAAAAGTTTGTGCAGTAATTCTGTTCTTTTTAAATCCATTGTAATTTTAAACACACCATTAAACTTCCTTTTTCTTTCTCCACAATAAATGGGATTTATGTCCATCTACGTGGAATGACAATCTCATTTATGTGTCAACAATCTGGTCAGAATCCCATCTTGCTATTCAGCGCTGCAACCGCACCAAACTACGTGGCTGAGTAACAGTTCTGTATCTCTGCACGTGCTCATCCCAAACCTGGAGCAACCTTCCTCTTTATTTTCCACCTGGAAGACCTGATTGTTCAAGCTGTCACAAAAATCTCTTTCTCTCTCCCGACCACCGTCTTCCAGAGTGAGCATCTCCTCCTTTGTCCTTCGTTCTGTCTCTGTCTCTTGAAGCTGCATCTCTTACTGTCTTTGTAACATCTCCTTATTTAAATGTGCACCTCCTTTTACAAATCTGAGTGCTTCTTAAGGTACATGATCTATGTCTTTGTCTTTATATGACCAGCACCTAACATAATGTCTATTTTCTACTAGCCATTCAATACGTATTTGTTGAATTGAATTCAATTTTTGAATAGCCAAGCAACTACTAGAAATGTGTTCCACTAGAAAAGTCTCCAGTAGGTCTTGCCTCACATGTTCACAGTATTTCAGTGTTTGTAGAGCATGTTCATGAGTTCTGTCTCATCTGGTTTTCAGATTCTGGATGAAGGAAGGATTTAGGGATAAGTGGTGGGTATAAAAGCAGTTAAGCAACTTGCCCAAACCACACTGATGATCTTGAAAAAGTCAGATTCAAATTTGGGTCTTCGGGAATCCAAGTTCAGGCTTTTTTCTACTATAAAACTAGACTTTCTGCCAAGTGTCTTATTTTACTCTGACGGCTCTTAATTTTGACTGTACATTAGAATGATCTGTGGTGCCTTAAAAAATGCCAGTGCTCAGGCCTCACCCCAGACCAATTAAACCAGAATCTTCTGGGGAAGGACTTTGGCCTTAGTATTTTTAAATTTTCCACATAAAGCCATGGGTTTTTACATTATTTTTCACAGGATTAATTGCTTTGGCCAGATGCCTGGGCGTGATATGGGCATGGACCCAGCTTCTTCTGTGAGCTCTTGTTATTCCCTTCTTCTGTTGAAGTTAATTCACCATATGGTATTGAGCATGATGTGACATCTCTTGGGGTATCCTTTTCATCATCTGTCAAATTAGGGCGCTGTGTAAGGGATCTATGCAGTCCCTTCCAACTCCTCAGTTCAAAAACGGAGTCTCGGTGTTGTGTGGGTTGAAATGAGGGGTGTGTACAGGGAGTATATGGAGAAGATAGCAATTGCCATTCATGCCACAATCACAGATATATGCAGGCATTTTTACGCAGTCCTGCTAGCTGTTCCTACAATGGGGCCTATAAAATCTCAGCTCTATATATTACTTCTGACATTTCAGCAATGTAGCTAAACTTTTTTATTAGTCAGAGGATAGATAGCAGGTGTTGGGAACTATACAGCCGGTGCCTGGTATATAAGAAGCCAAAAACATTCAGAGTGTGACGAGGAATGAAAGCTGCCACTTATATTCTTCAATTTACACGAGAGACAAGCATATGCTCAAGCCCATTACATGAAGGGAGATATTTGTTTCATATGTTTGAAACCGTTTTGAGATGCAAACAAAAGTAGAAGGGAAAGCTTCCTGGGCCTTCCTCCCACGCTGACCAGTTGCCTACCACACATGGCACCGGGCTTCTGGGCTAGACAGGGCTGTCTGCTGCCAGTCCTTGACTGAACCGGCCTCAGAAGGCTCAGTGTCTCTTCGATGTCATCTGGAAAAAGCACACATGGAGGAAATTGACCTTTCAGCCTTGCATAATTTGGGTGTCGCTATAAAGGGAAGTTCAGTTTAGGAGCCAAAGCTCATTTCCTAACTCTTGCTTTTCGGGAAGCAGCGCCATGGAATAATCATAACCAATGCTTGCCTAGGGCTGGAGAGTTAACAAAATACTTCCCAATCCTCCTTTACTCTGATAACAGCACTGTGGGAAGTCGTTATCATTACAACTTAATGGATGAGGAAACAAGACCTCCCATGACTTCCTAAAATGGAAAGGATAAATAAAGTCAAAGCTGGAACTGAATCTAGATCTTCTGACCCAGGGCCACTGCCCTTCCCTCCTCAGCAGGGCTGAACCTGAACTCCCAGCCTTGTTAACACTGGTTCATTTCCTCACTTAAAAATGGGATGCCTGGGCCCTGCCAACTGGTTTTTTTTAACTTAGCTTTCCAACTAATTCACGGGTTAACTTGGACAAATGCCTTCCCTTCCTTCTGCTTCGGAGGCCCTCCTTCCACAGATTGGTTTAAGAAAATATTGACATTGGCTATGGGATTAAGACATTTTGTTTTCTTAATAGAATCTCACATATGGCTATTGTAGGGACCTCGAAAAAAAAATAAATACATGTATTTTCTTTTTACTGAAAAAATAGTACATGGTCCTTCTTGACAAATGTAAACATTTCATATGCACAAATATAAAAATATTTACATTCCCATTTTGGAAATAACTACTGTTAATGCCTTGGTGTATATCCTTTCAGACCTTTTCGTACTTGCCTATTTACAATTTATGTAAATATTACCGTGACATAGCTACACAGTCTATGTATGTAATTATCTTGTTCTGTTGACATACCCAAACATTCATATGTATGCATTATACAGATATATGCATCTGAATACATGGGTAGGCTGGGTACTGGAGGGAGACGACTTCCTGATCAGCAAAGATACAACTGTTAATCTGAAGATGCTGGTATGGTTTCCCAGCATTGACTTTTTAGGCTATCTAAGACTCAGGCCCCACTTTCATTGATTCATTCATTTATAATCTATTGTATATCAGACTCTGTACTAGGACCTTTATATAAATAATCTTTAATGCTCATAGGAGCCTTATAAATTATATAATATAGTCTCCATTTTACATCTGAGCGAACTAAGGCTCAGGGAGACTTGTTGCCCAAGTTTTCACAGTCAGTAAGTGGAAGAATTGGGACTTCAATCCAAGTACGTTTCACTCCAAAGGGTGTGTCTAAAGCAGTGCAATGTGATGCCCACCATAATAGAGGAATGTGTAGGGAGCTGTGGCATGTGGAGGAGTGAAAGGATACTCCACAGCTGGGAAGCTCTGAGCTGGATGGTGGAAGATAAGTAAGACAATGGAGGATATGTAAGTGAGGAGTGAGCAGAGCATGTACAATGGAACTAAGGCATGGAATGGAAGGAAGGGCATGGCATGCTCCCAGAATAACAGGGGCTTCACAGGGCTGGCTACTGAGATGAGGTGGGAAGGCAGATTAATCAGATCAAAAGGGTCTCATCAGCCATCCTCAGAGCAGAAGCTTTACCCAGCAGGCACAGTAAAACAGCATGGTAGGCCGGGCGCGGTGGCTCACGCCTGTAATCCCAGCACTTTGGGAGGCAGAGGCGGATGGATCACGAGGTCAAGAGATCAAGACCACCCTGGTCAACATGGTGAAACCCCGTCTCTACTAAAACTACAAAAAATTAGCTGGGCATGGTGGCGCGTGCCTGTAATCCCAGCTACTCAGGAGGCTGAGGCAGGAGAATTGCCTGAACCCAGGAGGCGGAGGTTGCGGTGAGCCGAGATCGCGCCATTGCACTCCAGCCTGGGTAACAAAAGCAAAACTCCGCCTCAAAAAAAAAAAAAAACCAGCATGGTCACATCTGTGTTTTAGAAAATCAGCTTTGGCGGAAGACTGCTGGTGGGTGGGTTGGGGATATTGGTTAGGATGCTCAAGCAATAAGCTATATAAGAAAATTTAAACTATGTAATTAACTGCAGAGGAGGAGAGATGGAGTTCCAAAACATAGGAAGCAGAATAAGTAGGAACTGGTGACTATTGACTCTGGAGTAAATGAAAAGATGATTAATGGTTAAAGTTCAGGCCCGGGAACGGGTTGATGGTAATACCATTAACAGAAATCAGAAGTGAGAGCAGGAAATGATTAGGAGAGGAGTGATGAGTTTGGAATGATTGAGTTCAAGGTCACCGGACCTCACAGGGGAAGCGGTCTGTTAGACAGATGCCTGGTATGGTGAATACTGACTGACCAGGAGGGCTTTGACCAGCCTTGGTCATTCTGCCTCGTTATTGCATCAGCCATGGTGATGTGCTCTGCAAGTTTTATTGAATTTTCCTTGTCTCTTTTGCAACTCCTTATCAGTCCATTATCTCTGATTCCTACAGGAATAAGTTGTAGGTTTTTGATCCTTTTACCAAGAGGAAGAAAACTTGCCTTGCTCATTCTTTTTTTATTAAATATTTTGCATGGCTTGTCTGAGTTTGTGGTAAAATACCATTTTCAACATGTTAAATCAGTTTAAGGTACTACAGAGTCCATCAATGCGTTTAACCCTCATCCCAGTATTGCCGTGTTATTATCATTTACTTTTTAGAGAAGAGAATCAAGAGTTTATGATTCTTAAATTAAGCTGAACTGAAGAGATATCAACTTTTACCTAATTATGAAAGTTACATTTTCAACAGTAAAATATGTGTCAGACTCCCAAACACAGTAGTTTCTGGGAGTTTAACTTTAATACTATTATCAGAACTTTGAATGAACAAAAACAGAAGAAATCTTAGAAATCATATAGTTACCATATTTTCACAATACAGACTGGAGAGGCAAGGTCAGAAGAGGAAAAGTAATTACGGCAGGCCAGAGACAGAGACATGTGAGATCTTGTTCTCCTAGCTGTGACTGAGATGAATGGTGGGGGCTGTGTTTATAAATGTAAGTAGACCTACATTCATGTCTTTCAGGTGGCTGCTTCTCTATCATGCTCTGTGCTTCTCCCTGTCAAAGGCTTCAGCCCATACCGTGGAGCTAAACAATATGTTTGGCCAGATTCAGTCGCCTGGTTATCCAGACTCCTATCCCAGTGATTCGGAGGTGACTTGGAATATCACTGTCCCAGATGGGTTTCGGATCAAGCTTTACTTCATGCACTTCAACTTGGAATCCTCCTACCTTTGTGAATATGACTATGTGAAGGTGAGAATCCCGATGTCCCCTAACTGGGCCAGGCTCTCTGCTGGGAGTTAGACAAGGCTGTATGAATTAGACCCTTCCAGGGTGGCATGTAGTGAGGGAGACACACAACATCACAATAGCATGAATTCAGGTCAAGGTGGAAAGCTAAGTGCAAGCCGATGGGTAGAACTAGAAAGGTCCATGAAGGAAACTGAAACTGATGGAGTGTGACTCAGCCCAACACTACATCCCTTCTTTCTTCCTGTTCTCAAAGCCTTTAGTGTTTCTACCAACCTGTGTTTCAAGGTCACCTTTAATTCAACAAGCAGAAAAGGGCAGAGAGCTCAGAGTAGGCAGTAATCATAGAAACAGAACCACAATTATGTCCCAAGTTGAGGCATTAGAAAACATTGTCCAATGTCACAAATAATGATCAAGTATTTAGGAAGTGCAGGGTAAGCAGTAGTAAAGAGAAGGAGATGAAGTCGGAAGGGTGGGTGGAGGTGAGATTCTAATGGACCTTGAATGTCAAGCCCAAGGAGTTTGCATTTTATTAGCAAAAGGCATGGGTAGGGAGGGAGGATCACTATCAGAAGTAGATGCAAAAAGTAAATATGAGGGAAGAGCAGGATCACATCTAAACAACATAGCCTGGAATTTAGAGGTATGTTGTCTAAATCCCCCCAAAATATTCCATGGGTAGAAAGCTGTTCTCCTTTTAAAGCGAGGCTGAAAAAGGTCAGAATATTTCTAAGGGATCAGGTTTATTGCAGTTACATCTAGTTAAAAAAGATGTGGAGACCAAAGAACCTACCTTCTAAGCTCTCCAGCTTCCTGGAAGAGGTTCTTATCAAACAACTCTAGAGTATTTAGATATTTTTAGCATTTTAGTATTTTTAGTGTTTTAGCAATTTATATATACTCATTATTCCATAGCCAGTAATTTAACATGAATTAACTTTGTATTAGTCAGAATATTTGGTAAATAGCAGAGAAGTGAGTTTACAAGGTACTTTTACAATTATAACCTCATTCAAGCTTTAAAACAATTTTGAGACAGGAGCAATGACCCCATTTCACAGGTAAAAAAAAATAAACCCAGGAAGGTTAAGCAACTCATCCAAGGTTGTACATCTGGTAAGTGACGGATTAAGATCTCAAACCCATGCCGTGTCTTTTTGAATCACAAGCTCTTTTGTCTACACCAAAAACTCCCAGGCTATTCTCCACCAAGCCTAGGATACAGCAAGGGCATACAAAGGCACTGTGCTTCCACTCATTTTATATGTAGGGTGTTGTCATTGTGTATGTTGAGTCTGTCTGCAATGTCCCATTTACAGTAGGTCTCTGCATCTAAAAATTTTCAAAAATTGGTGTTCCATGGCAGGGTTTTTTAAACCTCAGCACTACTGATATTTTGAGCTAGATAATTTGCTGAGAAAAGCTGTCCTGAGCATTGTGGGATTTTTAGCAGTATCCCTAGCTTCTACCCTAACCAGGTGCCAGTAGCAACTCTCCTGGCCCCACCAGTTATGGCATCATAAATGTATCAAGATGTTTTCTATGTCCCAGAACCACTGCTGTATGGAATGATGCCCTCTTAGAATGCCCTGTGCTAGGGAGAGTGGAAATACTAGGTCACAAAAGACCTGGTCCCTTAAACAGAAAGATGAGCCTTGAAAATAGTCATTGCACAAGATAGAACAGAGATGGTAATAAAAGACTAACTGATAAAGAATGAGAAAAGATTAAACCGTTACTCTAAGAGATGATGTTGATTGGTACTCTAGATGCAATTTCTATACATTCATTAAAAATAAAACCAGTGTCTCAGGGTTGCAAGGATCAACCAGGGGGTATTCACTGAGGACATGAGTATGTATCATCCTAAACTGAACTTTCTGACAAAAAGGTCAGTTATGCCTTCCAGGATAAGAGTGTTATCCAGAGTTAAACTCCAGGATAAGTCAGATTATCGGATGAGTGCTTAGGTTAAATGGAATCTCTTAGCCCATTCCCCCAAATAATGTTGGTCATAAAGTTGTGGCATTCTTTAATATTTTGGTTGAAGAGTGGTCTTAACCAGAAGAAAAATTACCAAACATTGGTTTAATATGACAATGAGTTCTCTGGATTTAGATAAGGCTAGATATAAACTTTCTAACCATATTTTCCTCCACTTTCAAACACGTCAACCATCTAGAAATTTTGTCAGTGCAAATAGCTTTTATTGGTACTGAGGCTCAAGATCACAGAAATTATAGAACTTTTTTTCTCGGTAGTGATGACTTCTTCTCATAATTTGCCCCCTCTTCTCCCCAAGATTTGACTCTTAACTTCATATACATTGAGCAATTCTTTCTCTTAAGTTTGATTCTTTTTCAGACAAAAGACAATTTAACCTTCTTAGGACTCCTTTATCAAGATGATAAACACACAAGAGAGGATTTAACTCATTTGTTTGCTCCAAATAAGTGGAGTCTCCCAGCAAGGCAGACGAAGAAGCTGACATAAAGCAGAAATTTATTAATGGGAAAAAAGTGATGATGCTTTTCAAGAGCAATAATAAAATCTGAAAACCTCTTCTAACACTGAATTAAAGACACTGGAATATATTTCTATCTAAAGCTTGGCTTTCTTGGCTAGAGAATATTCTAGAAATTGGTGGATGGTTTCTATCTAGAATGATGAGGCTCCTTTCCGAAACCACAAGTAAATGGGCATGGGCCCTTTGGAAGGTGCAGCATGGCCCTGGCCTTTTACATGGAATTCAGGAAATGCCTTTTCTAATCCCAGATCTGTCACTAATTCCCCAAATGATATGGAGTGGAGAAGAATATTATTTTACAGCACCCTCTCTGCTCAAAAATTAGATGGATAAACTCTGGGCATAACAGGGAAGTAGTCTACTTGAAGCAACTTATGGACTGAGCTGTCTACCTCAAGTGCCCTACAGTCCTTGCATCTGTGAGGTGGGACATTTTTCCAGTTCCTATGAAAGCAGAGATTAACACGGTGGCAGCGGGAAGTGAGATTTCTCCACTTGCTCTTGCACAGCTGACTCTCTTCCAGAATGCCATCCTAATGTCAGCCTTAGCCTCCTGCACAGGTTCCAACATCCATGGGGCACCAGCAGGCCTCCCCCTGCAGAACGCTGCACGCTGCTTGGCTGACTGCTGGTGCTCACGTGGAGACCACCCTGTGCCCCTGCCTACACACCCAGTGAGTTGCTCTCCTAGAGTTGAGAACTCACAGAATGTCAGGCTGCAGGGACCCTCTGGGGACGCATCTCATTTTCAGTTGTGGTTTTCAAGTATATTCTTCCCAGTAAACATTTTCTCCTAGAAAATCTTCAGTGAGGCCCAATATAGAGAAGAGACAGAAGTGAGCTGCTCTAGCTGAAGGTGGCTCTGCTTGCTCATCATCCTCTTTGGTTACCTTGAAGCCCCTTGAGGGACTATGGCTTGACTCTTGCTGCTCTGGCCATGTTCCCATTGGACAGAAGAGGAGGTCAGAGTTCAGAGAGAGGATGAGCAGTCTGCCTCTAAAATCCCAAACCCAGAAGTATTCCACACTTAGGTGAAACCCATTGGCTTTGTCTAATTGCCTACCCAACGCTAGCCCCTAGAATACATGCTTTTTCTGGCTATAAATGGAAGAGAGGTTCTTCCCTTTACATCTAAATAAAAGCACAAATATGCCATGTGGCCCCCAAGTAAGTCCATATTCCTCTCCAAAATTATATTTTTTCCTCTGTTCAATGAGAGGGTGGAATGAGGTGATCCCCAAGGTCCTTTCAATTCTGGAATTATAATCCCAAGCCGCCTCGCCAGACCTTCCAAGATAACCCCAGCAAACCCTCATTATCATAGTCAGGATTAACACCAAAACACAGAAATTGTATGTTTACAGCAGCTGCATCTCAACGTCACATAGCTGCAAGCACACCAGTAAGAGCCTGAAGCCTGCTGGGGGTGCCTTGGTGGCATATCATCTGGACAGAACTGGTAAACATATAATGCCAACACTGTCCTTTACCAAGCAACTTCAATTATCACTGACTTTCCTTTGGCGGGATAAAACTCCCTGTTTTGAGGCATTTTTGCTCTGGGACTAAATTCCCCTCCCAGGCTTATATAGGAGAGGGTTTAATAAACCTTCCAACTCACAGGAATATTTTCCAGCTCAGCCCAACACAAACTGCCCTTCCCACCCAGGCCCATCAGGGCAATGATGATGGAACTGCTGATACTGCACATCAGTAGCCTGAAGAAAGCAGGACCCCCAAGTCTGTGGTCCTGATATTCACATTTATCAAAATCCCTCTCCTGCCTGATTTCCCACAGTTCTTGGTCTTCAAGGCTCATGCACATCTGCACAACAGCATCTGCTTCCTTGGAATGTGGCTGCAATGTTTAGATTCCTGTAGTGCATGGATGAGGCATACAAATCAGGGCTGGTTAATGTTGCAGGCAAGAGGCAAAGCACAGATACTGGTCAGGGAGTCAGCCAGCCTGACTGGGTGTCATTCCATACTCACTAACCTTGGGCGAATGACTGCACCTAGAAGGAACTCTGTTTCCTCTTCTATCAAATACAAATGATTAAACCAGATGGTCTCTAAAGTCCACTTTGCCTTGATAGTCTGTGCATCTAAGACCTTAGAAATTATGATCCAGGCTGGGCGCGGTGGCTCACGCCTGTAATCCTAGCACTTTGGGAGGCCAAGGTGGGTGGATCACCTGAGATCAGGGGTTTGAGACGAGCCTAGCCAACATGACAAAACCCCATCTCTACTAAAACTACAAAAATTAGCTGGACATAGTGACACACACCTGTAATCTCAGCTACTAGGAAGGCTGAGGCAGGAGAATAGCTTGAACCTGGGAGGCCAAGGTTGCAGTGAGCCGAGATTGTGCCACTGCACTCTAGCCTGGGCAACAAGAGCAAAACTCCATCTAAATAAATAAATAATCAATAAATCATGATCCAACTCCATGGTCATTATGTTCCAATGGCCC